CCCCCTCTTTGCACCCCCATCAACCTCTCTACTCCCCCTTTACCCCTTCCCTTTCCCCCCCACCTTCCACCAGGAGGAAAAACCCCCGGGGGTTTTTCTGGAGCATCCTGATGGCCACGGCCACCATCTCGCTGAGGGACGGATCCGTCTCGTTGTTCCTGTCCAGCTCGTACACCATGTCACCGGGCTCGAACAGGCCTGGGGACAGTGACAGTGCTGGGGACAGCCTTTTATCACCAAAAATAATTTTTAAAAGGGGCCAAATCCAGCCCCGCTGCCTGCTTTTTGTGCTGGCTCCAGCGTTTCATCCTCCACCGGATCCCAGGAGATTAGATAAGGGCCAGGGATGCTCCCAGCCCTTCCTTCCTTCAGCTGGGCTGAATCCTGCACTGGTTGGGCTGGTGAGTGTCACCACAGGGCAAAAACAAAAAACTGCTTCCCCACGTGGGTGAAAATTGCATCTCTTCAAGGGGTAACAGCATCCTTGGGGAGGGTGTACCAGCATCCCTAGGGAAGTAGCAGCATCCCCAGGGGGGTTATACCAACATCTCTTGGAGGTACCAGCATCCCCAAGGGAGCGGCAGCATCCCTCAAGGGGTAGGTAAGAGTGCCAGCATCCTTGGGGAAGTATCAGTACCCCTGCTGGAGGGGTGGTACCAGCATCCCCAGTGGTGAGTACCAGCTTACTTAGGGGGTACCAGCATCCCCAGGGGAGTGGCAGCATTCCTTGGGGTGGGGGAGGTGAGGTAGCAGCATCTCTTTGGGGTACCACCATCCTAGGGTGGGTACTAGCATCCTTTGGAAGCAGCAGCAGCATCCCTGGGGGAAGGGGGTACTAGCATCCCTAGGGGCATAGCAGCATCCTTGGGGGTGTGGGGGTACCAGCATCCCCAGGGGGGTACACCAGCATTGCTTGGAGGTACCAGCATCCCTGGGGAAGAAGGTAGCTGCATCCCTTGGTGGGGGAGGAGTAGCAGCATCCTTGATGGGGTACCAGCATCCCTTTGGGGTACCAAAGTTCCTAGGGTGGGTACCAGCATCCCTTGGAGGTAGTAGCATCCTCAGAGGAGTAGCAGCATCTCTTGGCGGCAGGGGAGCGGATGTAGGATCCTTTGGGGGGGTACCATTGTCCCCAGGGGATAACTGGCCACTCCAGCTGCCCCAGCACCCCAGGACGGACAAAGGGTGTCCCCCCCAAATCACCCAGTGGAGGTGGGGGCACCCTTGGGTGCTGGGACTCACCCAGGAGGAAGTCGACG